GTTCTCTGTCTGGTACCACCTCATTTTCAGAGGACAGACTGTGTGTCTGTGGCAAAAAAAAAATTATTAAAATTTGCTGACCAAGACTTCATCAAAAGATTACAAGAAAAGTGGCCAAAAATGGTTTCAGATTTTTTTCTTATGCGGACACGATGTGTTGATCTGTGTGGATTCATTGCTGTGCAGATTTTGCTGTGTGGACAAACACGGTGGTTGTTTTGGCCATGAGGCTGCTTCTCRTGAAGATTGTGGTGTTTGACACTCTGCTGACCATTTATGTTGTCATCAAGTGGTGAGATGATGTCATCTTTTTCAAATTTACCCAAAAGCAACACTGTTATGAATGAGGTTTAGAAAGAAAACATTGCTTTATGCTATTGTGATTAAACTTGTATTTTATTTATTTTTTTTCTCTCTTGGGGTGAGGAGACCTGCAGAAAACGATTTTTAGACTGAAAAGCATCATTGCTACTGCTGTGCTATGAGATTGATATTTGCTTATAAATTTATAATGTAGTATAATAACAATGATATATTATTATAATAATAATATAGCCTACCAGTTTACTTTTTTTTGGTTTTTAAAGTAAAAATATGTAGAGAAAAAGACTAAATGAGTAAACAGAAACATCTATTTTTCAGATTTCTGGAAACAAAGCACTTCTGTGTGACGCTGAAAAGAAAACCCAGCAAGTGGAGCTTCTTCTAAGAGAACTTTCACTGGAAGAAGTTCCCGCCCTTATGGTTGACTTCATGAAGACAGCTTAAAAGTTTTTTTCTAAAGTTACATGAACTAGAAGAAAGTGACCTGGATCAGAAGTTCTGGCGCATTTTTGAGTCTTCACTTCCCAGGTGTTGCTGACTGCGGCAGTTGAAAACGGATCGAGTTTGTGAAGCCAAAGCTGGTATCTGATGGAAGCCTAACCTCAGACAGGTGGTTAATGCTTCTGTCTGTTGTGTGTGTATGTGTGTGTGTGTGTTTGTGTGTGTACACACAGATGCTTTAGGAAGAAGATGCGTGTGGAGCTGCATTCATATGATGAATTTCTCAAATTAAAAAAAAAACAAAGACAAGAAAACAAAATGGAGAATATCTCACATAAACTTTTTTTTATCGTTTTTTGTTTTGCTTTTAAAACCTTCACATATGTAAAAATATTAAAAAGCTCAAAAGCATTGAAAATTGTACTTTTATTTGTATTAAACACCTATCTTTATGATCTGTTTGCAATCATAGAATGTGTTGGAGATGACTCTTTGCTACTACCACAATATATTTTAGTGAAAGGGTCTGAAGTGTGAGAAGCTCAGTCATCCGGGAGGGTCTCAGAGTAGAGCCGCTGCTCCTCCACGTCGAGAGGAGCCAGTTGAGGTGGCTCGGGCATCTGGTTAGGATGCCTCCTGGACCCCTCCCTGGTGAGGAGTCCCACTGGGAGGAGGCCCAGAGGTAGACCCAGGACACGCTTGTAGGGGTAACCCTGGTGAAATAAACATTTCTATTTTTGTCTTTGATTTTGTTTTTACACTTATAAGAAGAAAGTCATTTTAAAGTTTGTTTCTATCTTCTTTAAGTGAATGGAACAATATGTTCCATATGTTTTATTTCATTTAATCTTCTATTAGAGGTTTTAATCAATATATCATTACTCAAAGTTTTATTGAATTAATCTTTGCATCTCTCTTTATGTGAAAAGAAAAAGAGTTGAAATGTGCTTTAATGTTTTTCTTAGTACTGTTATTAATCATGGTTTAATCATTTTTCTTAATTGGTTTAAAGATTAATAATTGTGTACTATTAATTTCACTATTAATCCATTGATGCAAAGGTCTGACTTATAACCTTAGGCGAAGTGATTTTTAAGACAGAAGGTGAAGTCTGCCTTTTGCAGCTTCAAGGT